AACTTTTAGGTCACCAGCTCAAAAGTGGCAAGAAAAAGGTAACTGCAACACAACAGAAAATAAGACAAAGTACCACAAGATGACAAGGATGAAGAGACAATTCATCATCCCAATGACATCAGACAAAAGTTTGGAGATGAGCTGATACTTGACCACAGATTAGCACTCTGCACTAATGCTAGCAAGATGGTAAAGATCCTACCCAGAGGCAGAGAGGCCTCCGTGTAGACTGAGAAAGGAAGCAGAACTGAAGAATGTACCGTAGCCTAGACTAAGGACAGAGGATTGGTAAACAGAAGAGAAAGCTCAGATGCAAAATGGTTATCTATTTAACAATTAGGAAGTCACTGAACAACAGCAAGGGTGATTTTATTTCACTGGTGGTATATTTACAATTGTGATATTGTGATGTATAATGAGAAACGTGTATTAGCTTTTCTTTGCTGGCACAGATTTTCTAAAACCCTTGGCATTTCTTGTGATGAGAGCAGAAAAGATGTTTTTGTTATGTTAATGAGGTGAATTTTGGAAAGCACCTAAGGATGGGGACTAGTTGCTACGGGAACCAGCCATGTGACTCCAGAGTTGGAACTTTCAGTCTCATTCTTAGACCTCTGGGGAGGGGAGAAGGAACTGGAGATTGACTTCAGTCACCAATCATGACTGATTTAACCAATTGTGCCTCCGTGATGAAGGCTTCACAAAAATCCTAAAGGACGTGGTTTGGAGAGATTCTAGACTGGTAAACACCTGGAGGTGGTGGAAAGTAGCATCTCAGAGAGAATATGGAAGCTGAGCTCGCATTCCCACATGCGTTGTTCTACCCATCTCGTCCACCTGGCTGTTCTTGAGCATAGTTTTTCATAACAAACTGATTATTTAGTGCCTGAGATGCTGTTCTGAATTCTGTGAGCCACTGTAGCAACAGCTTAGGTGAGAAGCTGGGCTTGTATATGAAGGGGAGTGGCAGCCTTAGAGGGCTGTGCCCCTCATTTGATGCTATTTCCAAATAGTTTCAATCCTGAGTCCAACTCTAGGACACCCAGCTGGCGATGGAGAGTTGTTCAGTGTTGGCGGGAAACTTACACTGTCCCTAATAATAATTAGGGACACAATCGCAGCAATGTATTTAGATTTGTTTTAAAGAACAGCAACATTCTTTTGTTCTCAATTTAATGGGGCTGATAGGACCTCTTTATCTTAAATCTAAATCAATAACTCTTTAGTACTTTGAACTGTCTTAAATATTATTCAATATCCAGTTAGACATCAACAATCCCTTTATGGATATGCAATTATAACGAGAAAAAAAAATACTGATTTTTTTTTTATGCTCTGGAAATAACATCAACTCAATTCCTAGATCAAGAAAGCAGTGCCAGAAAGCCACTGTCCCTGTGCTTCCCTTCCAGCCCTGTTACTTAATGAATGGCCACCAACCACCAGAAAACTGAACATTAAAGTATGTAATCTCATAAACCTGCAAGTCTCAGAGACAAAGTGATTTACCCAAAGTTAAAGAATCAGTCAATGCAAGATGCAAATTTAAATGTGGACTCCTAAGTCCACATCTTCTTGCTTTTTAAATTTTCTTAATTCTGAAAGCAGTAAATATTAGGTATTGCACTGCCTCAAAGAACAGGCAATCTGTGAGTATATATTCAATAATATAGTAAAAGAAATGAACTTGATTTAAAGTAATGCAACATCAAATATGATCAGGATTACAGTTTTCAACTAATGTGATGAAAAAGATTGCTAAAGGCAATCTTACAGGTAATATAGTTTTATATCTTTTAAAAGCTTTTCAGGAAATACAAATTATAACAAGAAAATCCTGATGACTTAATGCTAAGAGCAGAAAAAGTCCACCAGGAAGGACAATGTATGTCAGAAACCGAACACTAAACTGCCTTTACCACCCAATAAAATGCAGGCTAATCTGGCAGTGGGTCCAGGGGGCCCAGGCGAGCATCTTGGCCTGGGAGCGGTGGCTAAGGAAGTCGCCATCACCTGGCTACCAACTTGCACTTTTCGCAGTTGAATGAGTGGGAACATTAAAGTGTTCACTCTCAAGAGGCTTTGCAGCGACTTTTTCGAGAATTTGTATTAAGGCTTAGTGACTGAATATTATGGTTTTGGCCAAAATATACTTCATTTGTTTACCTTGACCTTAGCATGTACTATTTCCTAATTCAACTGTGTTTAAGAATATATTGATTAAGTAGCATTAGCAAAACTAAAAGAAACTAAAGGAGTATCACTCATCTAGAAAAACAAACTTTAATACACGTTAATGAAAACTGTATGAGAACTGACAAAGTTTTAGGCTAATCTATGCATTTTCCATCTCTATTTCTAAAGCAATCACACTCTCTCTCCACTGGCTCAGAGCCCCTACACTCTTTTAAAACCAACTCAACACCATTCTAAATCACCCATTGGAAACCACTATTGCACTCTGCTCACTATCTAAAGCCACACATAAGCAAATACACTTAGACTTTAGAAAATATGAAGATGAGCAAAGTACAGATTATGAAGGGCCTTGTTATCATGCCAAGGAACCTCAAGTTAATGAAAGAAGAGACTATGAGGAGAAAATTGGGCTTATATGGAACACTAGCGAAAGAAACAAGAAAAGACAGGCATGAAGTCATTGCAACAGTCAATGCCAAATTATCAAGCTTTGTTGTTGCTGGAGCTCCTTGACCAATCATTTGCTTATGTTTTCCAGTGGAAAAAGAATTCAGTGGCAGATAAATAATAGAACTAAAAATACTTTTGAGGAGAATTGTGTGTGTGTTATTTTAACAATAGGGCATTGGTTGATACAGACTGAATTAAATATAAGCATATCTTAAAATTTATGTATTTCAAAGTTTACTAAGATTAAAGATGCAGATATGAATAATTATGAATGACAGGGCTAACCACACAATCTACAGTAAACCATGTTAATAACGATTCACCCAAATTCATAACAAAAAATGCAAGCACAGCAGCAACAGAATATCATTCACAAATGAAGATAGACAATTCAGCTACCTTTATCCAAAATTGTAGGGATCCCAATTATTTAAGTGTGAGTTCACAAAACAGAAATTTTTGTAATACTGCCAAGAATTCAAGGAAGTTAAATTTAAAAATTGAATTAGAATGTTTGGGCAAATCTAGTCACATAATAATTTTAGCACAATTTTCAAATTTCATAATCCCTAATAAATTATACAACCCCTTTATGTAAAAATAAAAATCTACAGAATGTTGTATCACTTTCTAATGTAAGTAACATTACTGGACATATATTATGGTAAGGTACATTTTGAATGCATTCATTTCTCTCATTTCATCATTATAAATTTAAGATAAAAACACTAATATTAATCTCATTTTATAGGTAAGGCAACATAGAGATTCACAATGCTGAAAAAACAGTGAAGCTGAGATTCAAGTTCAAATTTCACTTTTAACTGCTAGGTTTACATTTCCTCTAAAACTTGAATTTTTAGATCTATGTTAGGCTCTTAGGAGAATCTGTGCAACTCACTAACTAGGAAACTATATTCTGTGACTCACAACTAGGACGAGAGCTCAAACAGTGCAATGCCATTGGGAACGCAGAACAAAGATGAGTTCTAAAAAATTGAAAGAGAATTAGAAGAATTGGTGACAGGTGGGGATGAGGAAAAGTTAGGAGGGAACAGAGTCCAGAGTGACTCTGCATAGCAAGTAGGAGCTTTGGAAGCAAGCAGGAACTCCAGTAGAAAAGCATATTGTCAACCTGGATAGAGTTCAGGTTTGATCCATAGTCTCTGGGATTCTCATGAGATTCTCAGATCAAAAGCCCAGATAGGCAGCTTGAAAAACTAGCAGGTAATGGGTAAGGAGAGGAATGAAGAGAACTGTCCCTGCAACTAAAGTGACAGTCATTTTTATCTCCACCGAAATCATGCCTGTTTGAGAAAGTTACTAAAATAAATGTGTGTGGTGGTGGCTGGGTTCTGATGAAAGAGTTGGTTAAAATAAATTAAGACCCATCTTCCTGGCATGCAGGGATGTGAAGTCAAAGAGAATGAACACTGAGATATGAGCACAAATGCATAAAACTTTTCCCCAACATGCTACTGATCACAGATTCTCTATTCTGCATAGTATGTACAGGTCCTATGCTTGCTAATGCACTGGAAGTTGACTGAGGACCTATATCTTATTATAGTTTTTGAAGAACACAGTACCGTCTTAAAAAAAAAAATCTATTAAGTAAGAGATCCTTCTCACTTCTACAAGAATTTAGGGAATTCTTTCTGATGCAATTTGGCTTTTCAGAGCCTTTTAAGTTTAAGCATGATTAAATTTGCTCATCCATATTAACATATAACATGCTAACTTCATCCCCAGAAGCCAAAGGAAGAAGCATAGGAATAGAGAGTGCTTACATATATGTTATTAATCATGTCAGTCTAATCTGATCAGAGGAATACTTTGGACAAAGGAAAACACTATTTTGGTTCAAGTTTCATTAAAATTTAGAGTGATCAATTTTCTCTGAATAGCTAGAAACAGAAATAATAAAGATAATATTTACAATATTTACAACTGAAATCCTTAATTGCTAAAATTTAAAACATTTTTATTTTTCTAAAACTTTTTGACGCTTATAAAACAAAACTAAGATGGAATGTTTTCAAAAAGCAAAATATACTCCAACTAAAAACAATGGCTAAAACTAGACAAGTTCAGACCTCAGTTCTTACGCTTAAATGTAAGAAATATTGATTCCACTGTAAATGCTGTTAAATAATTGTTTAATGGTTGCAGCTTTGCATTTACATAGAGCATACTACCTGAGGTTTGTGAATAGACAACTTTCAATGAAGCAATAATAGTGATTAATCAATTTATTTGATACTTAGCATTTAAACATTTATATAGACATGACAAAATAGCATTATGGTAGGAATTGAAGTATTTAAAAACAACAAGAACAAAATACTCACGATATGGCACTTCCAGTGGATGTCCTGTTACGTCACACCACCCAATGGGGTGGATGTCAGGACTGTCTGCATCTATCCAGTAGTCATATTTGTGGTCCCAGCCATCAAAATGAACCTGTTGAATAATTATTATTATGGAATTACTATAATTCTGTCATTTCACTATTCCTGTATCAAAATAATTAGAAATACTTTTGCATCAAAATTATTTTGATATGAACTATTAGATCTTTGAAATTGTATCAATCACACAGTACAGAAAAGCAATAAATAAATTTTATAAAACAAAAACCTTCTAATTTAGCTATTAAAGGTGATGTGCCAACTTTTCTGAGAAGCATTAAACAAGTTGGGAACTGGAAAAGAAAATCTGTCTGGAGTGGACTAGAATTTGAAGAGATGGTCAATCTATTTTCTCAAATAAAACAAATACTACCTTGTTGAAAGAACACATCCTATCTTGATAGGCACTTCAAGAATCATGTCAGCATCATCAATAATAAGAGTCACCAACTTGACATCAGTACAGCCCTGTCTTGATGGGAAATACATGGATCAAAATATAGAGAAGCAAAAATTTTAAAACCCTGATACCTGAAGACAGAGAGAGTCACTGAAACAATAGAAGACACCAGAGTGTGCTACTCAAGTGTATGGATTTTAATAGCAATCCTAATAGTTGTGTATGGTATTATTTATGCAGTAGCTTTTTTAAAAAAAAAATTACTTATTTATGCATACAGGAACTGAGGTGTAGGCCAGAGATGCAGTGGGTAAGAGGATTCATCAGAGACAGAGAGGGGAGCAGAACAGGCAATCTACTGATATACACTGCAGAGGAGAACAGTGGATGATAAAGAAGTCTGCTGAGCCATATGGTTCACCTCCCTGACTGAGGATTAACCTTGAGCTGCAGTGGCTTCAGATAGCTTCACAGTGCTACACTTTAACCTTTGCAGTTAGCCCCAAATGCAGCAGTTATTAAAGGACAAGGCACAAGTTTCTACCAGGAAATCTGAGGTGTTATAGTCTAGGTTCAGCAATCTGATTGATTATCACTGCTTCACATCTTCAACACACACACACACACACACACACACACACACACACACGGGATTACTTCTACCCAACTCACACTCCTGGTCACGACAGAGTACACTTTCATAGTAATGTGTCTAAAATTGGATTAAATATATGAAGGTTTTAGACAATAGATAAAAGTAGCAGAAAATGCAATCCTGATATAAGGGGAAATACCCCAGAGGAACCCTGAAAGAATATTAAAGACGATTTCCTGATAGAAACACAGGCAGGAGAAACAGAAGTCAAGCCGTGCTAAGACATAAACTGCAGTTCAGAGGTGCTGATGCACTTAGAAGTCAGAGGACAAGCACTGGAGAGGAGAGAGCTTCAAAGGAAAGCTCCGGAAGTCTACAACGGTTATCCACAAGGCCATAATCCAGGCTGGACTGTGCATAAGCACAGAGACTTCATGAAGTCAAGTAGAGGGCAGCTGATATAAAGCTGAGACTAAAATAAATACATTAGGGGCCACACGCTACTGAGAGAGTGGCGACCCCAGAATAGAAAGACCTCCTTTCCCCATACTTCCTTGAGGATTTGAAACACCACAGAGGTCATTCTTTTGAAGAGACATATCCTAGAATAAAGGGTACTAGAGATCAGCCCTAAAAAAGGCTAACGTAAAGCCTCAACAAGATTAAGAATGACCAGTAATTAACTGACTGACAGGAAAAAACTCCTCTTTTTAAGAAGGGAAGGAAAATAGCCCCAACTCTGAACACAAAGTCCAACACATAATTAATATTTATTTGATATGAAGTAAGCAAGTGAGTATGATTCATACTCAATTTTTCTTTAGAAAGTAGTCAATAGAAATAGATAATCCAGATGCTGTAATTAGCAGAGAAGTACAGCAAAACAGCTATTAAAATACCTTCAAAACTTAAAGGAAAAAAGGTCTTAATGAGTGGATAAGGAATCTCAGCATGTAAATGGGAAATACCAAAGAGGAAAAAAAGAAAGGAAATTCTGGACTGAAGAGAAAATATCTGAAATTTAAAAAATGTGCTGAGTGGGCTTAATAACAGATTGGAGAAGTATAAATAAGGATTAGTGAACACAAAAACAGATACATAGATATTATTAGATTTAATGCATACAAAATAAAAGTTGACAAATGAACAAAGCTACAGGTACTTGTGAAATAATATCAACTTATCTGCATGTAATTGGAGTCCAGGAAGAACTGACAGAATGAAGCAGGAATATTATCAAACACAACAAAATATAAAAGGAATAATTTTAAAAAACACATCACTCTATTTTGGTAACACCACTTTAAAAGCTCAAGAAGATGACAAAACACAAGCATAAAAGAAACAAAGGAAATAAAAACTAGGCAAACCACAGTCCACCCTCTGAAAATGAAAGACAAAGGGAAAATCTTGAAAGCAGCCAGAGAACACATTAACATGTAACAGAACCGTGAAGGGAATGTTGGCCCACTTCACATAAGAAACAGTGAAGACAATAAAATGACATCTTTAAACCACTAAGAGAAAAAACTATCAATCCAAAACTTTATCCTAAAAACTAACTTTCAAGGAAGAGCAAAGTGGAAAATTTTTCAGATAAAGAAAAACTGAAATAGTAACCACATATATATTCACACTGTAAGATATTTTGCAGGGAGCATTTTAGGCAGAAGAAGGTGTATGTTGTCTTACCACTTACAAAAATAAGAACAAAGTTGAAGGGTCTTTTCTATCTGGTTTCTACAATTATTATAAAGTTCCAGTTATTAATACAGTATTGTATTGATTTAAAAATAGGCAAATACATTTTTGGAACACAGTACTGCACATAAATTAATCTACATACACAGATATATATTCCAATATAAAAACAGGTGATACACACAGACACATACACACACACATATACACAAGGTATACATGACAAGTAATATATAGATTTTGTGCATTCCTTTTGATGAGTATTGAGAAATACTTTTCTTATATAACTAATCAAGATTTAGAATAATGCCAATATCAAGAAAAGGTGGAAAGAAAGCAGACACAGAGACCAATGGAATAGAATTGAGAGGCCAGGAAAAAACCTACACATCTTTTCACAGCTGATTTTCAACAAAGGAGCAAAGAATATACACTGGAGCAACAAACGGTGTTTGGAAAATTGGACTGCCACTTCAAAAGAATGAAACTAGACCACTATCTCACACCATACACAAAAATCAACTCAAAGTGAATGAAAGACTTCGATGAAAGATCTGAAAACATAACGTACACAGAAGAAAACAAAGGCAAAACACCCCATGACATAAGCTTCAGAATTAAGATGGGTCATACGTTCCAGCAAAATCGTGCTTCATGGAATAGGACTTTCTATTTCAATTTTTGTACCTCTGTCTGAAAATTCAACTATGAAGTTTATATTTAAAACAAAAATGTAAAAGTGCAATATTTCAGAAATTGTTTGGAAGATACAATGTTTTTAGATACTCTAATATAAACATCTGTCCCTTCAATTGACGAGGAAATGTTAATTTGTCTTTTCCAATGCTGTGTATAATTACTTACAATGAAACTTTGGGGATTAAAAATAACCCCTTCTATTTCAATTATGTGATTCCCACTTCACCCACAAGGGCCATCTAAACTTGAAATATATAACAAAATCTCTTCCCATATATATTTTTATGAAAGATATTTTAGTATCTTTGGGTTTTCTCATCTCTGCAATGAGAATACCATTTTAAGAATTCTAACTTGGTTAATAGAGAAGATTGGCATTTTAAGAATATTTATAGAGTCCTTCTGTAAAGCAAAGAAAACTTTTGAAAACCAAATTATCTTCAGCATTGTATGTTATACATTTATGAATTTCACATGTTATTGTTTGCATAAAGCTGAGAAAATATATAAAATAATCTTTCTCAGATGTCAATAGATTAGAAACCAAAGTTCGGATGATGGAATCAACCACTGCCTCCAGTTCTTGTCATGAATATACAAGAATGCTTTCTCATAGTATTAATAGTATATGCATTCGTTATTAATGACAAGTAACTAGTAAATAGCATATACATTTGTTATTAATGACTGGTAATGCAACTTAGACATGTAAAACTTAGTCAACGTACAAAAAGCCAAGGACAATGTCGTTGGTGTAAATCCAAAGCTATCAATCCTCTGACACATTATTTTCTTGCTTTTACTTTTCATTTACTGTCCAATGACCACACTGGGGCCTCTCTATCTTTGAGCTTTGTCACCATGTCTTAGCCACCCTCTCTGCCTCCCTGACTCAGTTCCATGGCTAGATATTGTTTGGCTTCAAAATCCAGTGGCTGAGTACGATGCTGATAGTAATCACCATTTGCTGCTGCTCCATTAGGCAGCTGGAAAACAAGCAGTTAAATTTATCTAGGAACATCTGTGCTAACTGTAATGTTCTATCATGATTTTATTAGCCTGAGTAACTATTATATCTGTTCCTGTATGTGGTTTTTAAACATTTTATTTCCATTTTAACAATCTTATTGAATGTATGTATTTTATTGTCACAAGTCTCAAATCTATTTTAAAGACTTAGTGATAAATGTGCTGTAAGCATATATAGGACATTAACTTATCTAGGAAGCTCTACTGTACCTATATTCTATTAGCTTTAATTGAGTAATTTTCATTTACTTAGACAGCTTTAAGTTTCATTGAAGAAAGAACTGAGTTCTGATATTTCATGCTAATGACTATTACACATAATTATTGGTGCTAATAAGGCAACAGCCAATCTTGGTTCCCATGACACAGGCTCGCTGTGGGGGTGTGGGTAACACAGCCGCAGTACTGACTCAGACATCTGTTTTGTGGCAGGACAGGAATGCTTGTGTCAGGCCTTCACACCCCATAATCTGAGGGCAAGTGTTGGGTATGGCAGGTTTCACTTTTACTGTGTGCGTATATATTCCAGGCATAGCTGTGAAATACATACACTCTCACTAAATGTTCACAATATAGTGTTTTCAAAGATGATGAAAAGGAACCACAGAATAGTTAGAAAAGGTTTTCT